ACAAAACTTCCAATGTGATTTTGGAGGAAAGGAATACACCATAGAAAAATTCCACCATATAGATCATCCAATGAAAAAAATCGACCCACCGGTTCTCACATTCCTCTTTTGAGTCTATTCATAAAGAACTTGAAAAAAAATAAATAAATAAAAAAGGTAAAAAGAGCATTTGGTGATCTCATATGTGTCTAGGCGACACATTATTTCGGAAAATCATTTATTTAAAAACGAAAAAATTGGATGAACTTTTACTGGAAATATATTTATGAGCGGGTGTGTGATGGACTCATCTATTTATGTGGGTCCTCCCTCACAAATCTAGAGATACATTTGATATTCAAATTTTTTGAGGTAGGTAATCACAAGCATGGGGATCATGAATATGATAAAATAAATAAAATTCTGAATTCTAAAATTGGAGTGCTTTTAAATTGTTTTTACACCGTCAATTTTAACTTTCGGTTGGCCTTGGCGTCGGCCTCCCCCTTTTTGCCATCCATCTTAAAGATAGAGGAACACACATCATATATTCTCTCTCTCTTTTATTTATTTATTTATTTATTTTATTATTATTATTATTGTTTTAAATATACACATAACTTACTCTCTCTCTCATACACATGAGAGTGATTTTAGGTTCCCCGTGACATTATAATTTAAGAAAACCATATTTCTAAAAAAATCATGTTTGCGGCATTTGTATAACCCCAAAATTGCACCTACCCTATTTTCATCCCAATAATCAATTCCCAAACACTAAAATTCAATTTGCTCCTAGATATGGCCAAAGTAGTAACCCTCCAATTATGATTTTGGAACATCTATTTGGTAAATTTCAAGATTTAGACTTTATGAACAACTCATTTTTCTATTTTTTAGCATTGTTCACCTAATTATAATAAAGCTGCCTAAAAAGTTTAAAAAGAAAAAGATTCTTCTAACGTCTTGATCTAAATATCCCACCGAAATAGATTGCCTATGCTAATTGGGCTAAAAAAATACTCTTTAAGTTGTGGTTTCAAAATTTTCTTTTTTGTTTCACTTCAATGAAAGGAGTGTATAGGTAAAGTGTATA